TATGTGCACTTCTTTCGCTGGGATCCCTGTAGCCCATTGGCTTTGTTCCTCCAACTCATCCGTATTGTACTCTCAGTTAACAACATGGCAACAAGTTCAAGTTCCTATATGAGTAGCTCTCCTTTTGCCTCTTCCCAACTCAAGATGTGAACTCAGATCCTTACACATCCATAAGTGCTTGTGTGTATCTGCAATTACTTCATCTCAGTGTGTCACAGAATCCCAGACTGGTTTGGGCTGAAGGGACCTTAAACTGTCCCTTTTCAACCCCCTGCCCATGGCAGGGCGTTGGAGCTGGATGATCTTGGTTTGAATCTGCACTGCAAGATACCTACTTCCTTAGCCCTTTGATGAGCATCCTCTCAGACTAACACCAAAATGCATCAGACCGTGAACATCTGAAGCAAATAAAAAGGCAAGAATCATCCTTAAGTGTTATTCAAAAGCTTTAGAGAACTCCAACATGACAATGACTCTATAATAAGCAACACTGTTTGCTTTCCCATCAGAAATGAGAACCAGCGTGGGCTCAGATGGCACAGGGGTGCTTTCTTGGCCTGTGTTTCCCTCCCCAGCTCTATCTGTGTGTTTACTTAGCTGTGCCAGACATGGAACATCTCTTGTCTCACTTTCTGTTACGGTCAAGACAATGCCACAGAGGGCTCTTGGTGGTGCTGTTCCTCAGACAAACAACTCCACTAAAGACACATTTGTCCCTCAGCTGCAGTTAAGCTGCTGAATTACTGCAGGGAGTAAATGGTCGTGTCAATGCACAAAGAAGGATCCATTCTCCTTTGAGGAGGGCTATCAAAGATGGGCTCATTGTGCAACGATGGCACTGTAGTCGGTTCTGATGCAGGGAGGCCCCCAGTACAACCACAGGGACTCAGCCTGTGCAATCCACAGCACGAGGGAGTTTGTCCTCCAGCCAGAGCCATGGGGGAGCAGAGCTGCTGTTTCTCAGCTCTCACACCTCAGTGCTGCTGCTCCACAGCTTCTCCATGCTTGCTCTGCTGCCAAGGACCCACTCCCACCACCTCATCTCTGCCTCTTCTGCAGACAGGAGAGGAGAGAATGAGCTGGGTTAGGATTAGGGAAGGTCACGTATCTGGAACTAGAGTGAGGAGGAGACACGTCCCTCCCATCCCAACCAACCCTCAAGCCACTGGAAAGGAGTGGGTTTGGCAGCATCTCAGAGGGCATCTCCCTCACCTTGGTTATCTCAACACATTTCTAGACTAAGAGGATCTAAACCCTTTCTTGACACTAACGATGACTGCAGCATTCCAATTTCAGTGGTTAACAGGGGACATGGGCTAAAAGCACAAGTATTCACACACTGGGGTAAGCCTCCCATTAAACCCTCCTGCAGAGCAGGCTTAAAACCCCAGATTTGGGACTATTCACAGAGTGAAACCTCAATGACAAAGGGAAAGAGCAGTCTTGAAGCTTCATAACTCAGTTTAGTTTCAGGTCTCTTAAATACCTTGGTGCAGGGTTTAGCAGTTAAATCCTCACTTTAACCCTAAAGCAAGGTTTAGGGTTCAATTGTCCTGAATTCATAGCAATAGACATGAAGCAGCCACATGTAACAGGAAAATCACCATTCCCCATTCTGATTTATCAGCAGTGGAGCCTGCAATAAGCTTCTTAAGAAGAACTTGGCTCCCTTTCCTGCACACGCACAAGGAAAAATGTCTGCAGCAGGAATATTTCATTCTCCCTTATTTTAACAGATGTTTTGCCATATTTTTTACATCCCTCTTGCCAGCTCCTCTTCCTAGCTACAATTCCATTAAGACTTGCAGCCATTATATGCAGGAGAAGGAGGAATATATTGAAAACCATTCTACTTCCTCTTGATTATTGGCCAGAGCTGGTATTTCTGCCTTCTATGGGTGCTGTTACCTCTTCTCCAGAAGCACTTGATGAGAAACATGGTACCCACAACAAATGAAAACCCATCTCCTCTAGGACACTGAGCATCTCCAGTGCTGTGACCCACACGAACGCTCTGACAGAGCCAGCACTCCAGTTTGCCTTTACTGACCACATGGATCCCAACCTGTGATCTTGCTAAAGCAAGCGGCCCTACTTAGAATCATGGAATGGATTGGGTTGGAAGGGACCTTAAAGCTCCTCCAGCTCCAATCCCTGCCACGGGCAGGGACTCCTTCCACTGGAGCAGCTTGCTCCAAGCCCCTGTGTCCAACCTGGCCTTGAACACTGCCAGGGATGGGGCAGCCACAGCTTCTCTGGGCACCCTGTGCCAGCGCCTCAGCACCCTCACAGGGAAGAGCTTCTGCCTCAGAGCTCATCTCAGTCTCCCCTCTGGCAGGTTAAAGCCATTCCCCTTGGCCTGTCCCTACAGGCCCTTGTCCCAAGCCCCTCTCCAGCTTTCCTGCAGCCCCTTCAGGCACTGGAGCTGCTCTCAGGTCTCCCCTTCAGGAGCCTTCTCTTCTCCAGGCTGACCCAGCCCAGCTCTCTCAGCCTGGCTCCAGAGCAGAGCTGCTTCAGCCCTCGCAGCAGCTCCATGGCCCTCCTTAGAGCCACATGTGTTGGCTGCAGCTCCACAGCTCCTCCATTCTGCAGGGGGCTGCCTGCGGATGCACCCCATGGGTGTTTGCTGTGTTTCAGGCATCATTTGTTTGTTTCTCCTGAATCTGTTACAGGAAGGCTCATGCGTCCTGAGCATCCTGAGGAAAGGTGGGAAAGCCCAAGGAGGTCCCTGGCCACCATGCAGGCAATGCCACCTGCACCCTCAGGTGCCAGCAAAGGGAACAAGTTCGTAGCATAAGCAGATAAGGAAGCTGAGCCCTCAGCAGCCCCTCAGCTGCCACAGGTTTAGAGCTGACAACACGGGCTCTGTATGACAAATAGGGAAAATACCAGATAAAAGCCTTCCTTATGCCTGCACTGAAAGCCTTCCCTAACAACACTCCTCTTGTGAGCACGGGGTGAAGGCTCACACTCGCTCCTCAAAGGGCTGCGCGTGCTCCCAGTCTATAAACCAGACGTGCAATGGTTTCAAAGCAATGAGATTCACTGTCAGGGCTTGAGAAGAAATGAAAATATTCCGAACAGAAAGCAAGTATCCAGGCAGAAGCTCTTCCCTGTGAGGGTGCTGAGGCACTGGCACAGGGTGCCCAGAGAAGCTGTGGCTGCCCCATCCCTGGCAGTGCTCAAGGCCAGGTTGGACACAGGGCCTTGGAGCAAGCTGCTCCAGTGGAAGGGGTCCCTGCCCATGGGAGGGGGCTGGGACTGGATGAGCTTTAAGGTCCCTTCCAACCCAAACCAGGCTGGGATTCTGTGATTTAGAACTCACAAAGAAATTGAGCTGCTTCTGCACACGACAAAGGCATCCTGCAACCGTGCAGCCGGAGATGCTGCTGTACCAAGAGACTGAAGGCAATCCCAGCTCTACTCAAAGGATGCCTTTCACATGCAAGTCAGCACATTGCTCTCCTCCAAGACCTCTCTGCTTGCCGTGGGGATGCTTCTGCCCAGGTAACGTAGACACAGGGAAACAAAGATGACTCTGTTCTGTGTGACAGACACACAGACTGAAACCCCACGTCCATTCTGTTGGATTCACAAGCACAGATAGCTCCCTCCCAAGCTAAGGAGAGATCTCTGGCCCTTGAAAACATTTAGGAGCATCTGGCCTCAAGTTTTATATATATAAACCGGAGATGTCTTTGCAGGAAGCCAACAAAGCCACATCTACACACACCACAAAACCTGCAGAGTGGTTATTGGTACCCAAGGGCAGCGTTGAAAGAAGCCACTGCAGAGGAACTGCCCCTGCTATGAAGAACTCTAGAGCTCCTGCAGCCCAGGGTCCAACCGCTGCTTTATATGGTTGTGCTGTACCAAATGCAATAGGCAATAAGGAAAGCAACCACCTCAGTGTGCATCTGTCTGCATTGAGCACACTGCCAGAGCTGACAGACTTCATGTCAGGAAAACCAATGCTTCCAATGGTATTTGGGAGGAAGAAGAGCATGCAGGGACCTATCTGCCTTCTGTAAGCTTGTTTCACACAGGAGATGGGCTGGTCAAGTGCTGTAAGTTCTGTTTCTTCTCTCAACCTGCAGCATTTATGAGTAAAATCCCTGTGGAAGCAAACCACGTTTCTCGTGCTCTTTGAGCACCCACCAGAAGGAAGCAAGCTCCACAGTTAGGGAAAGAAACAGATACTTCTTTTTTTAACCCCGAATTGCTTAACTGTTCATGGAGAGATGCCACCTTTGCAAGCACAGCTTGAAGGCTGGTGTCCTCCACCAGTGAGCCACAGCTTGAGAGAAGGACAAGGGCAAGAGCTGTAACCAGCACTTGTCCTCTGGGGCTAGTGGCCAACAAGGGACCCGAAACATACATTGACAGGAGAAACTCCAAGGAAAAAACCAACGTTCCCATATTCCAAACCCCACCAGCTCCAAGGCACTTACATAATCTTGTGCTAAAAAGTGCTGGCAGAGATGCGTGCATAGGAAAGGCTCTGAAGCAGCACCGCAAAGTAAATGGAAATAGCTACCAACTGCACCAGAGGCTTTTGCCAAATGAGGAAATGTTCCATGTTAAACTCGTGCATCTGCAAGAGACCCTGGAAGCCAAAGAAACACTGACTCTAATGGCAAAGGAAAGAGGAGCAATAATAAAAACTACCCTTTCAAACCTGGAGCCTGATCTGAGCACAGCTTAGGTCAGAACAGGCAAATACCCAGGCATTATTTTTGCCTTTGAATACTGCACCTTTCAAGACACCAACACTGTTGGCATTAGAAACAAGGTGATAACCCTACAATCTGCCATGAAAACGAAGGGCTCTGCACTGCTCCCACTGATGAAAGCCTTACACACCACTACAGCTTGTCAATGCCCAGCACTCCTGGCTGAGGCCCAGGATTTCAAGTGTGCCTAGAAATAGAAGCAGATTAAGCATACAAAACAAAGACCACGAATGTGTCCCCCCCCTCTATAAAGTCAGTTCCAGTTACCTGGCGTGTCGGATAATGGGAGAGGAATGAAAGGGTCAGGCACAGTCAGAAGAGAAGGGCTAGTGTCCAAGCTCAGAATGTCTTTCGTTTTCTCAGCTGGTACCCAGGAAGAGAAAAGGCAGAGTGAAACAGAGCAGAGAAACAAGCAGAAAGCATTGAGCAAAACCTCAGTGTCAGAGTGCAGGCTGTGGCCTGACAAGAACACACACACTCAGAACCAGTTTGTGTTGCCAGGGAAAGGAAAGAAAGAGGGAAAACCCAACAACCCCAAACAACTATTACCATGTAGCTTTCCAACACAGCTGAACTCACAGACCTCTAAACATTCCTTGAAAGGGCAGTACTATTCCCTCACTTCAAGCAGGACAGAAGGTGAAATGCCTCCACAAAGGCCACACAGCAGCCCCACGCTGGGCCTCTTTGTCAGCAATATACAGCATCTTGCATCAGACAAGCTGTATCTACCAGCAAAGAGAAAGAAAAGGGCTAGAACCACCTAGTGCCAAAATACCTCCCAGAAACCTTCCTATGAGAGAGCTACTAAAAGAATCAAACATGCTATAGCACCCAGAAAGCCCAGAACATGCAGATGCTTCTCAGGCATATTACAGCTGGATCTGGAGCTGCTGCAACTCAACATCACTCCACAAAGGCTGATGGAACATCATAAACTGAGCACAGGGCACTCCTGCATCATGGACTTCAACTCCTTCATTATTAGGTAAGAGCCAACACCACCAAGCTCAGTTATAAGCTCCTCTAAATCTCTTTTTATAAATAGAAATAAGCACAAATGGATTTGTCGCTTCCTTAGGGCTCCTGGAAGCAGGTTTCCAACAGTGAGAAGTGATGCTGAAGATGTAGAACCAAGCAGCAGCGCTCACTCAGCTTCTCAGCATGGAAGGGGCTGCTCATGGCAAAACCTTGGCACCAAAGGAGACACCAGATGAGGTCACACATACAGAAGCCTCTGCATAAAAGTCTCTTAGACCAGCCAAGGACTTGTGGCCTCTGGACCCAGACAGCAGAGCCAGGGCAAAACTTGCCTTCATCATCTAACATGTCAGTTATGAGACCCACTGTGCTCTTCCCTGCTCACTCCTGGCTCTGCAATTCCTGCAGCAGAGACATTATCATCCCTGCTCCTCTCCTCCTTCATACAGCCAAAGAGCTGCAGGCAAGGGATACCTTCCAGCATGTCTGTCCTGTGGCTCCGAGTCCAATTCCCTTATTGCACACTCCATATTTCACTTTTAATTAATGACTTACTTTTAATTAACACTTTTAATTATGAGCTGCATGGAGCTGCAACACATTAAGAGTTTTTCTTGTGAATTTAAGGGGCTCACTTGGTTTCCTCCCTCACCAAAAGCCTCACCTCTACCTGCAGGCAGTGCCTCCTCTCTGTGCTACCCAACTGTGAGAAGCACACGTCATTCCTACCTTGCCTTCTCCACTGAAGCACCAACCCTATCCTAGAGCTCTCAAAGCCAAGGCCCAGCTCTATTTCGATCAGTTTTGCCATCCTTTCAAAGAGGCTATGACAAAAAGTTGCTGTTTTCCTGCAGTGCTTCTGCAGAGCATCATCCTCTAGGTCACATCCACACACTCACCTGGTCCAGGAGCGAAGGAAGAGCCACCAAATGCATCCGGCTGGGCCGCAGATGAAGCCGGCTGGAAACCTGGGATCAAGTTCTCTGTGGAGCTGCCCATCTTCTCTGGAGCTTTCCCTGAAATGCCAGATGCACATTTAGGGATAAAACTTCCATTGCGAAGGTTGGGTCCTTCCCTAGACTTTTCATGATGCTACTGCAGGATGTGGCTTTAAGCCCCTTCCTGCAAACCCCAACTCACAGATTAAGCAGAGTTTAAACTGCAGCTCCTACACCAACTGATCAAGGCTGCTTTGGGAGGGGTTAGTACCTCTGCCTTTGAGAATCATGCTCATTTAACTGCAATGGCTCAGCAAAGAGGACAAGGACTGAGAAGGATTTAGCTCTTACAAGCACAGAGGACCGTGATAATATGGGAAAAGCCCAGCAGCATTTGCCCAACAGCATCACCATTCCATGCCATCTTCTGTTCTGAGGGCAGGCGGGTATAAAAGGATCTCCATGAACCTACCATCACCCAGCTTTGCAAAGTCCTTGTTCAGCAGCTCCTCAGCTGTGAGTTTGGAGAAGTTATCATCATCAAATGGATTCCACGTGGAGACATCGGGCGGGTTATAGACATTCTGCTGTGAGGTCCTTGGGGAACCCGAGGGTGTGGTGGAAGCAGATCTGTATGTGATCATCCCAACCAAACAACAGACATTAATAACCCATCTGAAACTCTCTGGCCAGCACTAGGTGCTGGTCCAAGCTACTACATTACAATTACTTCCTACTTAAAACACAAGTCATTGTACTTGCATGCTCAGGGACCTGGGACCTGCTACCCTTGCCTATTCTTAACGTGGTTGTGCATCCTGGAGTCGAGGATTAAAACCAGGATCAGCAGCACCCCATTTGAAACAATTCCCTGCAATGCCCTCATGGAGACTTCCTGCCTGTAGACACTGTGAGAGGGAGCTAGTCAGTATCCCAGGGGAGTGCTGATGTCAAGCAGCAAGCACGAAGCATGCACCAGGGCTACTGGTGGAAGAGCTGAAACGGCAGTAGCTTCTGTAATCCAGAGTGCAGGCCCTGTCTGCTTTGCTTTTAGTAAGCATGGAAGCACTCAGGACTTCTGCCCTTGGGGAAGCTTTTCAGGCACTTTGTGCCAAGCCCTAAACTTCTGGTCTTCAGAAAGCAAAGACTCATTTAGAGTCTTTGGCAGTTTGCTGCCTACCTTCATCTTTACGTCTAGGGAGCCTCAAGAACCTCATTTTCCCCCTCCCTCCATACCCTTTGACACCAGGTGACCAAGCACCTACTTGGACTTGTTGAGACTGGCCTCAGCAGCAGCTGCCTGCAGGAGCTGGGTGGACTTGCTGGCTGGAACCCCGAACACCGCGCTGTGGGTCACGTCGCTCAGAATCCTCCTGTGGCCTGCACGCTGGGTCTTAGGGGAGGATGGAGGGGTGAGAGACCCCAGCTTCTGCCCCTGCACTGCTGGAGGGGGGGTCGTCTGAGGCTTTTGCTGTGGCCTCATTTGTGCCTGCATCTAGGAGAGAAAGGGCAGTAATATGTCCCTGTTCATGAAGAGCAGGCACGATGAAAACACAGCTCCGTGCTGAAGGATCTGAGCTTCAAGTCGTGGATTGGGAATAGTCAGGAGGGGAACAAACACACAAAGAACTGGGGACAAGGAGGAATTCAATTCACTGATGCACAGAATTCCAGTATTGCTACAACTGCACAAGTAGAGGCTTTCTCCTCTTTCTATGGAAGGCAAAGCCTCTGTTAGTGCTTGGTGTTAAAGACTGCCTGGTCTCAGGAGCTTGAACACAGATGAAGAGGCTGAGATCCAGGGCAGAGGTAACATCAGTTCAGAGTGTGCAGGACTCCTATTGTAGGGACACAAGGAGTGAAGAGCAGCGCTTCTTCCAGCAGATAATGCGTGACTGGGGTCAAATCCCTAAAGGGGATACAGGGTTTGTGCAGAAATCTTGTGCAAGAAGCTTTCTTTTAGGGGAAACCCCCTCCAAGGACCACAGGAGCATCATTTGTCATTAAAACAATGGAGGAGAAACCCAGGCACGTTTGGTTTGGGTGGTTTTAAGTCAAGATAGCCAGCTACAAACCCTTTGGAAACTCCTCACACTGATCTTCTTCCATTCCCTCAGTCTTGTGTTAAACTCACATCCCTTTAAGTACTTGAAATACCTTTTGGTAGTGATAAATAACAGCATCCCTTACAGCTGTGTGAGTTTCCAGACTCTGCAGTGAGATAGCATGGCCGGATTTAAAGCAGGAAAACTGGAATGCAAAGAGCTGTGCACAACACCTCCACTGCCTGGGCACTCCCTCTATCCCCCCTGACCATATCCAACCAGGGAAAACAGAGGAAATACTTGGGAATACCTAAGAGGGCAATGAGAGTTATATCCCCAGCGTGGTACTTAACCACAGTGGGGGAAGGCAAACAAGTGGTTAGCTGCCTTGCTTTTCATTTAGCATCCTGTCAATTCACTGAGGAGCAAGCTGACCTGCCTGCTCCTGATGCACCCACCTTGCATCTCGCTATATAGGTCACTGCAGAACAGTACATTTGGTGCTGAGAAATCAAAGGGCAGTGCCAAAAACCACCCCAGAAATGAACGCAGAGCTGATTAAGCTGAAGTCTCACAACGTGAAAAGGTCCTGATGGGTCCTGGCTTGATACCTTCTGCTCAAAGGCTCTGCAGAGACCATGTTTCACAATCACTTTTTAAATGAGCCCATCAACTGCTTTTGCTCTCCTGACTGCTGCAGGAGTGGAAAAGAGTCCAGATGCATCCATTCAGAGCAGCCTTCCAGGGGAAGAATGCTAACTCTCCATCTACCTGATGGAATAAAACTAAGGCCATTTTTTGTGCTAGTGAATCACAGCAAAGCCCTTTAGAGATGCTCTTCATTACCATGTGCACTGGGTTCAGCATTTCTCCTCTGAAAGGACCAGGATCATAATGGGCCTCATCCAAAACCTGCCTGCATGCACTGAAAATCTCCCACCACCTTTAAGGAACTGACTTGCCCCAGGTCATTCAGAACAGCAACAAGCCCAGGAACACAACAGCTCCAAGGCTGTCACCTCCCCTAAGCACCAGATTAGCACTGAGAATTACTATAAAACAAAGGGGTGAATGTGACAGCCTTGAGACACATTGGAGGGTAAAATGATGCTTCCCCAGTATTGCACAGGTCACTGGCTTATGGACTTTATCAGTCAAATTAATCCCTGATGTTACTTCAAAGGAGATTCATCAGATCCTGAATACCTGGCAAGTCATGCACAAGCAATGACCCCTTAGTTTGGACTCGAGCTCTGTGCTCCTGAAGTGGTTCCTTATTAATTACTGCTTGCTGTGGTACAGCACGGTAACAGGCAGCTTCCCTGCACATGCTTTCTGCCCAACCCACAGCTAGAGTTAGGGCCATCCCTTTGCACTTCCAAAACCTGGGATTATGCAGGAATGAAAGGAAAATGCCCAGCTTCCTCCCATATGCACTGCAGAGACACTTTGGCAGCGGGGATCCTGCCCTCTGGCGCAGCTCCCTGCCTTTACCACTGCGAGCAGCTACTTCCCTGGAGCAGAGAGAGATTTGCCATTAAGTAAAGAGCATTTATTTTGGATGCACGTTCACATGATTAAAATGGAGGATTTGCTTCTTTACTTTTAGGTTTTGAGAGAGGTGTTCTGAAAAGGCTCCTTTCCACAGCATTCATTTTGGAACAAAGTTATTCCAGCATCAGAAACAGCCAGGAAAGGCTGTTGCACCTCCTTCTGCATCAGAGCCCTTAATACGGGATGGAAGATAGCCAAACAAGCAGCAACATAGAATCCCAGACTGGTTTGGGTTGGAAAGGGCCTTAAATCACCTTCCACTACAGCAGGCTGCTCCAAGACCCTCTGTCCAACCTGGCCTTGAACACTGCCAGGGATGGGGCAGCCACAGCTTCTCTGGGCACCCTGTGCCAGCGCCTCAGTACCCTCACAGTAAAGAACTTCCTTACATATAACGTAAATCTTCTCTGTTCCCTGTTTAAACCCATCACCCCTTGTCCTATCCCTAGAGTCCCTGATGAAGAGCCCCTCTCCAGCATCCTTGTAACCCCCTTCAGACACTGGAAGCTGCTCTGAGGTCTCCACGCAGCTTCTCTTCTCCAGGCTGAACAGCCCCAGTGTTCTCATTCTGGCTCCATACAGGAGGTGCTCCAGCCCCTGAGCATCCTCGTGGCCTCCTCTGGACTTGCTCCAACAGCTCCATGTCCTTCTTACACTGGGGACATAAACAGTGTTGTTCTGTTGCCTAATGCCCATCATGATGCATTAAGTACAAATAACTTCTAGAAGTTTACTGCATGCCTTCTAAGGCAGCATGACAGGGGAGGGGTAGGGGAAAGCTGCATTAAGCAGCTATAAAGATCTTATCTGCTTTCTGGTCATCATCTACTCATCTTCTTCCTATGGACACAGAGCACAACTCCCACGTGCAGCATCCTGTTGCAAAGAGTAGTGCAACCAACTGCACAGGTGCCTGAGGTAGCAAGGTTTGCGCTGACATCTGCCACCCAGACACTATGGACAGCACACTAGGGACCAGCAGGCCCCAGAGCACCCATTACCTGGGCTCTGTGAGTCAGAAAAGCCCTGCTGAGCTGCTCCTGGGCTGTAGGAGCTGGCAGGAGAACACTCACCAGCAACTCCGAACGCCTTCCCACAAGGCTCTTACCACTTGCTCCTGTGGCTGTGCTGGCTGGGCCACACTCTGCTGGGGCTGGGGCTGCGGCGGGGCTGGGGCTTGCTGCTTCTGCTGACCTGCTGCTCCTGCTGTCTTCTGCTGCATTGCTGCCTGCTGGGCCATCATCTGCTGCTGCTGCTGTTGCTGCTGCTGCTGGTAATAGTTCTGCATGAGCTGCTGCTGTGCTGGCGCTCCTTGCTGCATCACTGGGAACTGGGAAACAAGCAGCGGTTGAGCTGCTTGGTGAGCAACTGGGCACTGGGGTACCATCACCCCAACTTGGGGCCAGCCACAGGAATGGTTACAGGCACTGCAAGTGGTGAAGCAGTCACAGGCTGGGATGGCTTGGAGGCCAAATGTGTGGTGGGAAGTGGCCTTCTGATCTAAGGACAGATGCTGAGTTACACCCATAAGGGGCTCCCTCAGCACAGACTCTCCTGTGGTCCCAAACTCCTTTCTTCACTTCTATCAATTCTACACCTTTCCCCAGGATAAGAAGATTTACCATGCCTTTGCTTCTACTGTTAAATATGCTTTAGCAGGGATTTCTGCTGCTATAAACACCTATAAACAGCATGCAAGTCTGTCATCTACACCCACCCCATCTAACACATCATGCGTCCACAGGCCTCCTTATCACTGCTGGCTACCACAAACCCAGACCTGAATCTTACAATTCAGAAGACATGCCAGGCTCCTTGTATCACAAGAGCAGAAGAGAAATTGCACCCTTCTGTTCATCAGCTGAACATTGACCTCAAGACTCTGAAACAGTTGGAGCTGTAAAATCTTCACTGCCTATTTCATGTCTGTATGTGACTAAACTATCTCAAGGCCTTTTAACATTAACAGTTAAAAATACCAGCCTTGTGTAGCAAAAAAATCTCACTAGAGAACTGCAGACATATTGGAAAATGTCCAAAACCTGCCCTTTCTCCCCCCAAAACCAGAGGGCTTGCCCTAAATGCAAAGATGCAACCTCACAGGCCTCTAGCACAGTAAGCATGTGACAAACACAGCTGTGCCCATTTACCTGCTGCGCCTGCATCATCTGCTGCTGCTGCTGGTAATAGGCAGCCTGTTGTTGTTGCTGCTGCTGCTGCTGCTGCAGGAGCTGCTGCTTCAAGAAAAGCTGCTGCTGATGCTGAGGTGTGGCTTGTGGCTGAGTAGAGGGGACCTGGGGCTGTGCCTGCGGGGCTTGCTGTGGAGCCGGTGCTTGCTTGGCTTGGGGCTGTGCTGGAGCCTGTTGAGGTGCTGCTTTTTGCTGGGGAACACTTGCAGGGAGCGAGGGCTGAGCACTGCCCAGGGCAGCAGGGCCTGCAACTGGTGGGGAGGGAGAAACAAGACAGCTCAGTTAGATCAAGGTGTACCACAGCCCTGTGGTACCACACAGGGAGCACCACCTCACCTTGCGGCTGAATGGCTGCTGGAACCGTGGGTCTCTTCCTAGGTGTCAGGGCTGGCTGAATGGGCAGAATTCCAGGGTTGGGTTGTGTCTGTCCTGCTTTAGGTCTCTGGCGGGGTGCTATGGAAGTTTCTGTTGTAGGGATGGGATCTGTCAGCCTAGAAGGTAAGGAATAAAAGGAAGAGTGGGAAAAGCACAGTCTTTGTTAGCCTGATAGCTGCTGCACGCAACACACACTAGAGGCTTGAAACACGTGACTGATGCTGGTGACATCCAGACACACACACTGACTCTTTCCAGAAAGCTGCAAGCACAGTAAAACTGAACAGATGCATCTCCAACAATTGATCTAACACCGTCCTTTCGACTTCTTTGACCAACTGTGGCATCTTCTCCTGTTGTGACGGCCGGAAGCTGTTAAAACCGCTCATTCAAATACTTGATACAACATCTTGTTTAAATCCACTTAGAGTTCTGGATGAGCAAAGGAAGGGCATCACAAATCAGATTAGGAGCAGCTGGCACCTTTGGGCAGAGTTATCTAAATTGGCATCTTTGGAAGTACCTTAACTTTAGTCCATCTGCCCCAGAATAGGTCACTGCGCCTCTTCTGATCTCTGCTCAGCATTCACTGAGCAATTCACTCCAACAATGCACACAACAGAGCCAAGCAGCCAGACACCCCCCTGCCCTTCTGTGCATTGCTCATTAGGTCTCAAGTTGTTCTACTAACGTGGAAGTAGCTGCACTCAGTTACAAAACCAAACAAAGCAGACTCCTGGGACTGACAGGCAGGAGGAGAGATTCCCTGCTCCAGAGTGAAGGAAGCTGCTGGGTTTGCAGAGCCTGCTGCTGCACTGCTCACTTTGCAGGAAAACAAGGGGCAAGTTTTGCCCAAGAGAATTTCCAAGTCTCAATCACAGTATCATAAGCAGAGCAGCAGCATCAGGAGAGGATTAAAACCACAGCAGTACAGTGGTTTCCCCCCTAACTGGGTTCCTCAGATGGATGGAGCCTCCTTGGGCTTTTGTGTGTGTCCCCTGGAAGATATTATAGGGCTCTTGCAGAAATCACAGCAATTTCATCCAGTAAGTACTGGGTTTTATCATCTACCAAGGGTCAAACTCTAACAGCAACAGTCCGTGATGCAGTTTCTCAGCAGACTCCTGTTCTCTGGGCCAATTCCAAGCCCAGTGCAGGCCAGCTGCAGTCTGCCTCCTGACTTTGCTCTCAGGTACTCCAGATGGATGACACACTACATTCATTTAAGTGCATGAACCTCAAGTGCTGCTGTCAAGCAGTGTCTCCAGTACAAAAACCTAAGCTGTTGAGTCATGCTGAGTATCACCCAAGTCCTCCCCATGCAGAAAGATTTCCTTTAATATCTGCATTTTCTGCCTTTCAGGTCAATGGGATCAATAGTTATTTATGTCACTGAAGCAGAACCCTCAGGACTGCAGTGTAGATGTAAGCCCCTAAGGAAGCAGCTAAATATACCAGGCACCTTTCCTAAAAGCAGAAGGACAACAGGCACTAAAAAGGTCTGAGCATAATGCAGATGTGGTTACCTGGCCTTGGGTTGACTCTTCTTTGCAGCAGCTTCACTTGCTTTAACCGGGTCTGGGAGTTTAGTGGGGATTGGCGAGTTCTGCAGATCCCAAAAGCACCACATTTAGTGTGAAAATAGAATCAGAAACCATTTGCACAATGAAACAGGCAGATTGGGGGATCCCCAAAGCAACTATTCCTCACGCTGGACAAAGGACAAAACCCCTCAATGTTAATGTCATGTAGAAACAGGAGTATGGGAGAGTCTTTACAAGGGAAGAATACAGTTCAGCTTTCTGACCACTTCCTACATGTGGACACAAAGCTTCATAGCACAACCTGGGGACAAGAGCAACAATACTTACTAATACTACTGTAAAAAATACGGGTAGAATAGTGCCATAACACCATAAGAAAATACTTGTCCACCCTGTTTTTCAGTTGAAGCCTATAAAGATACACTAAGATGGTGGTGGAGGGTCTGGTGTAGTTCAAATGGAAGCAGACACAACCTGCTATGTCTAAACCCAACTGCAGCACAAATTACACATGCAATGATGAATGTGCCTGGAAATCCAATCAGCTGCACAAGCATGGCCTAATTTTCCATGCTCACATGCACAGGATCTCTTGCTTGACCTCACGCTGGTAACTGGGTGAAGAGGTAAATCAGGGACAGAAATACACAACACAGGAAGCAAAATCCTGATTCCTGCCCTTATTCCTCCCCAGAAACATGCCAAAATCCCAAATAGCTTTGCTAGTTGAAAAAGAAAGACCCTCCTAATGTCAGAGCTTGGCAGAATCCAGCTGAATACTCAATATTCAGCAAATGCCACCCCCAGTCTCCTCCCACAAAGCCCTGCATCAATCCACTCCTTTGCCACTCACCTGGACGTTCTGGACTGGACATTCCTTCTTTGCCAGTTTGAATGCAAAGTAGGAGACCTGATAAATATCAGGTCTCTTATCAGGGTCTGGTTCAAGCATATACCCTTTAAGAGATAGAGATGCTAACATCAGAGCAACAGAACAGACAGGTTCACAAGCCATTTGTGGCAGTGTATCAAGAATAGAGATAAGGAAGAGAGGTGGAATATGTCCCATCCCTGAAAACATTCAAGGTCATACTGGAGGGGGCTCTGAGCAACCTGATCTAGTTAAAGATGGCTCTGTCCATGCGTACCCATCCACCACACCACATAATCAAAGAAAATACCAGGCTGCTCTGCAAACACATCCAAGTCTGTATTAGTCAAGATTGTGGCTAGGCAAAGAAAAATAAACTCAAATGCTGTGCTGGAAACAAGAGAGCTGCCCCAGCTTTGCCAAGAGCAGCGCATTGTCCCCTTCGTTCCACATTCATTCCAGTCAGTGCCTTATTTATAAATCATTTCAGTTCTGTTTCTCAGTTCACAGAAGATGAATTCTTATCTCTCGTCTTAAGTCACTGTGGGTCCTTTCAGTTCCTTATCCAAATAGATTTATTACTGGGGAAATACGTTTCGACATCAATAGGGTTATTGTGCAAGTTCCTGTGGGACTCCTAAACCAAATGGTTCTCTGTTTTCCTGCCTTTCCAGAGCTCACGACAGCCTGGCCAAACAGCAACCTCTGTCACAACCGTCTGTCAAAGAGTGATCCCATAGCTACCAAAAGATCACTTTAACCACCTTTGTGTGCAAGGAAGTGTCTTAAAAGAAGAGAAACACCAAGAGTTTCACTGTAGGGGCAGGAGATACAAGAACAGAAGACCTGAGTTGCGCAGAAGGGGACCAGAACTCACGGATGAGGCAGTGCATGTCTTGTGAGTGCCGGGAATTATCTGGAATGGTGAAGTTGCCATCACAGATTGCCACCTGACTCTCTCCAAAGGGCAAAGTGAAGTAACACAGCTTGTACAGCAAACAGCCGAGGGCCTGAAGAGACAGAACACAGCAAAGGGTTTAAACTGGGAACGGTAAAATTCAAACACCCTCGTGGATAAGAGGAGAAGTCTCCAGCTCCTTCTGCTGCATGGGTCCCACATGGCACCCACTACATTTTAACATCCCTGTGATGCACTTGGAAACAAGCACAGTTACACACGTAGGTAAACACATGAAAAGCTCTCCCATCTCCAGGCTGAGACACCGTAACCTGGGGGACTGTGCAAGCAGCATCACACAGAGAGCTCCAAATACCACTATACAGCGCGGCCATTCACATCATGAAACAGGCAAAGCCTGTTTCTGCCCATGCTGGGAGGAAAAGGCAAAGCAATAGCAAAAATAAATGGTACCCATCATCCTTAATACGTTTTTTTCTGACACAGAAAGATCCAAACTGTGCTCAAGCTGAAGTTCAACCTTTCAACCATTATAAAGGTGTTGCAGGGAGAGCCACACGCGTACGGCTGCAGGCTTCTAGCTTCTGTCACCCTGCCCTCTATCCCTGTGCTGCTTCTGACAGCAAGAACCACCACCTATTGCAAAAGAAAAGCCATGTTTTGCACAAAAGGCTAATTATAAAACCCTCCCACCACTTCAGAGGGGAGAGGGGGAAGCATTTCCCCATCCTAAGCAACTCAGCAGCAGCTTCTATCTTTTGTCATAGGATGTCACAATCCAGCTGCACTCCGGTTTAAAATAACCTTGATAAGATTTAAGGAGAGGGACGTTTCCAGCAGGACAAGCACTGCAGCAGCCTTGAAGTCGAGGCCCCACTGTGCAGAGCACCACAGGCTGGTTTGGAAACACTCAGTGGGTTACTGGAACAAAATTCCTTCCATGTCAGGAAGGGGAGAGTCTTTGGGTCTCCTCCCTTCCATGTTATCACGGGAAGGAGGGTGAATCCTAGTACCTTTGAGACCTGGCAATCTTTCCATGCTGTTCTAGCTGTGAGTCCCTCTTCAGCCCTCTAACCCCAAGAGGAGTGACCCAGCACTGGTACAGAGCCTGGCCCTACAAACCTCCTGCTGAACCCCGCAGAGCAAGAGCCCCACAGGAGCTGCTGCTTTCCTGCCTCCAAGCTCAGCTCAAGAGAGGACAGAGGACTCTTCCCAGCAAGTTTCCCTCTTGTATATGCAGATGCAGAGCTATAGAGGAGACATTAAACCTCTGCTTATACTGCTCCTGCCTTGTTACTTCCTAGCTCAAGGCCTCCTAAACCCTACAAACATGCTCTGAATTTAAACACCTCCCATGTGCTGAATCGCCACTGCACTACAAACAGCACAGACTTCTTTTCACCTCCAACCCAACTAAAGGGAAGCCTTCCATCCTTCACCAGCTTAGCCAGGAATGGATTACACCCCAGTTGCATTTTGCTCTCAACATGAAAAGCACAGGGCAAGACTGCATTGATCATTAGAAACAGCACTGCAAAATGCTTGGTCTTTGGCCAGGTTTGACAAAGTAACTGCGTGACACTAGCCAGGATAAGCATACTATCGCTCCTGGGGGAAGGTCTGTTTTCTACTCAATTCTAACCAGTGACTTTGCTTTCACATGCTCGCAAAGCAACTCAGGCACAAGTAGTCACAGCCCTCTGAATTTCCTGTTTCAATTCCTGCTATGGCATCAGGTTTGCACTGTTCAGCCCCGGGATTTCATTCATCTCCAAATTAAAACCACACTGCAAGTAGCATGCAAAGAAGCACGCATGTTTTATCCACAAGGCATCCTACTCAGCAGTTAACTGCTGGGAAACATCAAGCAGAGAAACTCTGTACTCAGAAACTGCCCAGTCTCTTAAGGAAACTGGGTTAGCCCCAGCCAGAAAGCTACCCCATCATTATGGTAATGAAAACAAGCTGCAGTCTGGTTGTATGACGGTAAGTGGGTTTGATACGTACCCATATGTCTGCTTTTGTAGTAATAAGTTTGCCACTGTACAGGTTGACCATTTCTGGTGCTCTGTAGGACAATGTAGTGTACCTGTAGGAGAAAAGTCTATCAGTGAGTTGGGAATGGCTGGAAGATGCACTTGCACTGTGTCACATTTCCAAACGATTCAAAATTCACTCTTTCCCTATTCATTTTAAGGAAAGGGATAGTAAAGATGATCATCTAGTGGAGAAATCTTTTAACAACAGCATCTGCTGCATCCCTCTAACAATAAAACACCAAGCACTGCAAACTGCCCTGTGGAACCAAAGCAGAGACCAAGATCCTGCCTAAAGTGAGCAATTCACTCCTAAATCTGTGCAGTCATTTTAAGAACTAGAACAGAAATATCCAAGGATTCAGAGTATTAAACAAGGTCAGCAGCCAAATGTCCTCGGCAATGTCCTCACTGCTGGGGCTTTGGCCAAGTGAATTACAAAGATTGTAACTGGATATGTGGCTCCTAATAAATAGGCTTCCATACCCAGAGCCCTACTCAGAGTCATTGTACACAAGGGAAAAGTTATTCTGCATCACAAATATAGGTAGAATCTGCCTCTTTTTAACAAACAGAAAAGCTGGAAGCTGCACCACAGCTGAAGAGACTCCTACGAGAAGATTTCCTACCATTTCTGCTGTGGCACCTCACATGCTCTTTACCTTGATCACAAGAAAGCGTTGCTAAAGGCAAAGTTTCTATAGGCTTGTTAATAAGTGTACAAGCCTATAGAAAAGGGCTCCAAAGGGGCTGCAAAGCCAGACTAGCAGCTTCAGCCAAAGAAGCCTAGGAAACCTAAGGAGGTGGAACTGAATTCTAACAAAAAGGAGGCATTTGTTCTTTTCTAACCAGAACATTGTATTAACAGAACTGGAACGTCTGCAGCAGTGATGTTATACAACTAAAGCAAGACAAAGGACCCAGACAGTGCCCCATTCCTCACTTATGTCCTACTGAACTGCCACCTAAGGCCCCTTTTCAAAAGCATCAGGGTGCACCTAGTTGCTATCATACAGCTAGTCGTGCATGCAGCAAGAGAAAGAGCCAGATGAAACACTTCAAGGATCTTAGGAGCTGAGGAGTCAGGCCATGAGTTCCCTTAGTCACTGCAAGGATTTATGCTTGTGGAGGACAGGGATTCTGTCATCTGCTGTATCACAGTCCAAAGAAGCCAAGATAGAGGAAGGACAGAGACAGACCCCATACATAACAGAACAGGTCACTACCTCCTCAACGTGGGCAACCTCTCTGCAGTAATGCCTCAGTCTTTCAGGTCCAAAGCAATTACATCAAGCTCAGTTTATTGTTTCACCTTCCCACAGGCACTTACCTGCAACAAATACAAACTGTGTCTGAGCTGCAAAGGAAAAGCACACTTACTTTTTGATCTCCTCCTCTACTGCATTCACCCCTTCTGTTTGAGGGTTCTGGAATTTGTTAGTAGCACTGCCAAAGTCACACAGGACATAGTGGCCACGGTCGTGCAGCAGGATGTTTTCGACCTACAAGCATCACAAATAGAGAAACAGACAAAAAACTCATTCATGTTCTTCAGATGAGCTTTTAGTGCCTGAAGACATAGCAGGTATGTCTGACATAAAAGCATAACATGACAGCAAAGGAAACAGGCATCAAAACTCTGTCACATCTCCTGAAATAGAAGTCAAATCATGGAAGCATAGTTGTACCTAGGAACTGTCTTCCCTCTGCCACCTCTCCCTTCTCCTTTCACAAGCACATTACCTTGCCTCTGCTAAAACCACCATGTGCTGCTGAAGAGATGAGCCCCTTCTTTGAAGTAGTGTTTGGAATGAGACAACTGAAACACATGCTGAAAGCAACACCTGGGAGAGCTGGAAGTCAGGAAATCAAGCCAGCAGTCACTGCCTTTCCCCTAAATACTCGCACTTAATCACACAGCAACTGAAGTCCAGCTTGCACCCACCTAGGAAAGCTGTCTGAATGGTTCAACACTGACCTAAGATGTGGAAAAACCTAGGTTCAGTCTTTGCTTTGGCAGAGCACGCCTGTATTCCAGCTCCTCACCTGCACAGTGGCATGACCAAGATGCTCTCTCAAGGGAATACACCCAGGTTTGAACGTATTTCTCTTCAATCAATGTCAAATGCTCAGATACAGCCATGAGATCAAACACATTGCTCAGCCATCTCCCCAAACCCACCCCAGAACTGTGGACTAACAAAAGCCTTTGGAAGCAGAGCTCCCCAACAAGGCTGATCTTTACAAGAAGGAAAGAAAAAGAAGGAGTCAGCATTTTAAGCACCAGAAAATGCAGCCAAAGCAGAACAGCTGAGGGGGGAAAGGCTGGCTTGAAACCAAGGGTTAAACAACACCGCTTCCCCCTCCAGCACCCATCTGCTTTGGATAAAGCACCACGCACAGATGTTCTCCCCAGATCAACACTGACAGTGTTATTCCCTATTCCCTGCAAACACTTCCAGAAGAGCCCTTCCACTTTATCTGGCTGAGAAGTCTGAGGTGACTCCTCAGTCACTTGCCAGCACTGCTCAACGCTTGCAACTCCAGCTGCAGTCTTTGATGTGCCCAATGTCAGATTTTCATGCCTCCAAAAAACACCTTTAAGGGAAACTATGAGTGTGCAGCTTCTGCCTTTACTCTATGACACAAATGATTTCCTTTGCTGAAGTCGTAAGAAAACTCTTGGGGTTGTTCAGCTGGAGAAGAAAAGATGCGCAAAGAACTCGGAGCAGCTTCCAGTGTCTGAAGGGGGCTACAAGGATGCTGGAGAGGGACTCCTCATCAGGGACTGGAGGGATAGGACAAGGGTTGATGGGTTCAAACTGAAACAGGGCAAGTTCAGGTTGGAGATAAGGCAGAAGCTCTTCCTGTGAGGGTGCTGAGGCGCTGGCACAGGGTGCCCAGAGAAGCTGTGGCTGCCCCATCCCTGGCAGTGTTCAAGGCCAGGTTGGACACAGGGGCTTGGAGCAAGCTGCTCCAGTGGAAGGGGGTCCCTGCCCGTGGCAGGGGTTGGAGCTGGATGAACTTTGAGGTTCCTACAACCCAAACCAGACTGGGGTCCTATAAGACTGTACAGACACACACTGGTGAGGGATAAAGAATAAAGCTGCCTTTAATTAGCAAAATCAACACTTATCTTCTCATGAGAGCAATGGCTTCTAAGGCCAGTGCTCCTAAGCTCACATGGTGATGTGGGTGGGATGCACGACCCAGGTACACTCTCAGCTTGCCCTCCTGTACCTTCCAGTCTCTAAAGAGACGTTTCAACATCCCTTTCTCCTGTGACACCATCCACTATTTGCTTCCGAAAGCTTATTTACTACTTCATGGCCAAGAAACGAATGCAACGTGACATCTAAGAGCACTGCCTGATTTTGGCACAGCCATACGCTTAACATGGTCAATACAAGGGTTTACCAATCGAGGACTCAAGAATTTTACATATCACACTCTGCACACAGATCCAGGCAAACACATTCCAGGCAGAAGCTGGTTGGTGGCATCAGGGCAAGACTTGGCATTACAAAGCAGGGTGATGGAAGGCAGCGAGATAAGAGCAGCACAGCGTGACTCTCTTATCACACCACAGAGAAGAGCAACACTGGGAAACGCTGCTGCTGCAATGAAAGCAGAAGAAACTAAATCCTTAACAGGAGAGCACAAGTTTCTTACTTCAGAAAGCAGAGAAAGGGAAAGAAAAAGCTGTTTTGATCAACAGCATCCTCTGGGTTGACTGATGGAGTATTTTGATAGAGTATTTTGGTGTATCCTGCTGGGTGACTACTACAAGACAATCAGGCACTCATCCACAAGCCACTCCTGGAACAAGATGGGATCAGACTAGAAGCAGCCCAGGTAAAGTGGGAGATGTCTCACTGTGGAAAGCTCCACAAGAGCTGTAGAAATCAAAGCTGGCTTGAAGCTGGTGCTTTTAACACCGTGAGGTACAGGGTGTGAGACTGGAAAGGTTAAATATAAACCAAGTTATGCCAACAACTGCCACCAGGTAGAGAGGAGCTGAGTAAATAGTTATGAGCAGGGACAGATAGATTTTGTGCTCCCCCCACTTCGCTAACCCCCCTTCTCTGGGGCCTGACAGTCACAGTTTCTCTTAACAGATTCCAGCTTCAAAGCTGAGGCTGCACAGCCAGGGTAATATTAACACACAGCCAGAAGAAGATCTGGCCATTTGTTCTCCACTATTGTAAAGAAACAGGAATTCTTACTCCAGGGAAGGCTCTGCAGCAGCAATAGCCTGTGAACCCTGAGGGCAAGGAAAATACCCAAAAGGACAAGCAAAGGTAACCACACAAAGCAAGCCTGTAGGCTTACAGGGCTTCTCTAGGGGTCCTAACTAGCACAGAGGCAGCATATGAGGGGCTTCTTCATTTCTAGGGAAAAAGCAGCATCAATATACACCTGGTTCTGTGGCAGTCAAAGCACATGGGAACAAGCATCACCCCCTGTACTGCACATCATGCAGCTCTAAGCACACAGGCACAGGCTGACACAGCTCCTCAGGGGCAGCCATCATCACTGCCTTCTGACAAGGGCCTGTAAGGGACAGGCCAAGGGGAATGGCTTTAACCTGCCAGAGGGGAGACTGAGATGAGCTCTGAGGCAGAAGCTCTTCCCTGTGAGGGTGCTGAGGCGCTGGCACAGGGTGCCCAGAGAAGCTGTGGCTGCCCCATCCCTGGCAGTGTTCAAGGTTGGACACAGGGGCTTGGAGCAAGCTGCTCCAGTGGAAGGAGTCCCTGCCCGTGGCAGGGGTTGGAGCTGGATGAGCTTTAAAGTCCCTTCCAACCCAAACCAGTCTAGGGTTCTATGATCAGGAAAGAAAACCTTAACAAACACCCTAGGATCACACAGTGTATTTTTCATGGCCGTTATCTGCAGTGAGTTGTCCATGTTTGCTTATAGGCAGGCTGCTCAAAGGTGTTGTCCCCAGCTGCTGGTTACATACCACCAGCTGGAGACTGGGCCAACAAGAGGTTGTTCTGCTTCAGGCAAAGCCTGTTGGGTTAATTCAGAATCACAGCTACAGGCCACTGAAGCTAATCCAGCTGCACTGAAAGGGCTTAGAGATTATTCACACCATTCTTTCTGCTGGCAGAGCTTTCTGAGCAGGAACCTCCAGCATTAGAGCAACATCAAAGAGCTGGAAGGCAAAAAAATCCCCCAGTCCCCAAAGTCAACAACTTCACTCTTCAACAGGGTTGTGTTCACCCACCAAAATACCTACCTGATGATGCCCTTCCTTACACTCGGGACTTGTACAAAGCTTTGCTGGCCCTAATGTCTCTCTTGGAATTACAGTTCCTTCTTGGTGTTTGAGTTTGAACTCAAAGTGAAAACATATCTAAACCATTCATTCTGTGTTAGCACTTGGATTCCCAATCGTGACAGGAGCTGCAGAGGCCATCCCAACAGAAATAACACAACAGTCAAGTGGGAAACGTGCCACAAAACAGAGAAAAGCCAACTCTCATTCCTTGGGCACAGCTTACCAAGAGCCAAGCCTTGCAGAGGCTTTACTGATCTCAGCACACAGCAGTGGGCTGGACACTAGACCATAACAGCCCCTTTCAATTGCAGCTCAGTGTAGAAAGCAGCACTCAAGATCAACTCATTAACCCACCACAGATGTCTCAGAATTCATTCACGTGCCACACAATGAGTTTGTTCCTTATGAACAGCAGAAGGTAACAGCAGGGTTAATATCATCTGAACAGGTCCCTGTTCCTAAGCCTCATGAAACATGTTAAATCACACCAACTCCTGAGGATTTCCCCACCCCCCCTGCAATACCTGGCTCTCGTTGGCACATGTGGGGTCTTTGGCTCCTATAACCAACAGCACAAAGCAAACATCTGCTGAGGGCTCGGAAAGCAGAGCCTGACCTACAAAGCACATCTGAATTTCAAATGCACACAGGAGCCTCCTCCGTGGCTGAATGTGTTATTCAGGCATTTTATGAGCAGCTTGAGAAGAAAGGGAACATCTTTCCGTTTGTTTGATGATAGGCATGGGATTTTTCCAAAGCAATCCCCTCTGTGCCCAGCTAAGCACACAAGAGCTTTACAATGCACTTTCATGGTCAACAGAGAGTTAGAGGCCACTTTCAAAAGCTTCTGACGCCTCCTGCCCCACGGCCAACATCTCTGGAGGGATCCTTTTAATGCGGGTCCAGGGAACAAATTTACAGCCTGCTTTTTGCTCCCTACCTTCTATCACCATTTCTGTTTCAGGTGGTAGAAAGTCCCCCTGAATAATTCATCCACTACTTTCATCTGTGCAAACCAGAACTATTCACCAACATTTGTGTGCTTTAAGGAGATCTCTAGATGGCAAACATATGGTAAGGAGCAATGAGAGGCTCATCTCTGTTTTTATCTTCCAATACAGAGAGATATTTATGCCTGTTTTTCCTCACTGCTAACAACAGAAGCACAGCACCAGCGTTCCAAGCCTGTCTGCCGTGGCGTAGGCAGCAGACAGACACGTGGAGGAGGATGCCCACCCCCTGCTGTACCAGTGGAACCCACAACTCACCTTCAAATCCCTGTGGATTATGGGCGTTTTACACTGGTGCAACCTGGCTACGGCCTCGCAGGTGTCACAGAAGATCTGCAGGACCTCGGCCTCCGTGAAGCCCGTCTGCAGGCGCTGGTTCATGAGGTTCACCACCTGACCCCCTGAGCACAAACAGCACCAAGAGTCAGAGCAGGGATGGGGCTGGAACAAGGGAAAACTGCAAGCAAAGCAAAGCAAAGCGAGGGCTGGCCTGGTCTAAGCCCCAGCCCTAGCAGACATCACTTGTCTTTGTCTGCTCCCCACACTGTGGCTGTACAGTCAGTTCAAACACCAAATTCACACCAAACCTTCCCCAGAGGCTTCTTATTCCTCTTGTGCTGTTCTCATTTCCTCATCTAAACCGAGGGGGGGTCTGCATATCTGCCAGGGGGTGTTGCATCTCATCTTGTCTTCAAACAAGAGCACCAAGTTAGCTTCTAAGGCCCGCAGCCACCTGGCTGTGTTAACACTCCGATGTGATTCTAAGCCACATCTTTTCCTTTCTTCTTCAAAATAAGACTTCTTTTTGGCAGACTAGAGAAATAAAGGCTGAATATGGGGCACGCACAGTCCAAAGAGTAGTTTGCCACATACAAGCAAGAGGAGGGGGAAAGTGAGCTACTAAAATCCCCCATACACAACCAAGAGGCTTGGCTAAAGTCATAGATTGGCAAAGCAAACTTAAAATCCATCTGGAACAAGGGAAACTCCTCACAAACCAAAGCAAGTTTTCATGAATGAGTCCTGAATTTGCCTCGGCTTTCAGGTTTTGTTGCTGTCAAGGCCTTTCCAAAACAGTCCAATTCTTCCCCTCTCAAAGCACCCTATATACACAGGGGAAAAAAATCTCCTTTCTGAACCTTTGGCAACGCAAAACTGCATCATTTCACATCACAAGTGCCAGAAAAAAGTCATTTGCATGGGACAAAGGGAAAGCTCAGCCTAATAAACATTACAGCTGTGAACATTTCCCACTCCAAGCGAGTGCAGTTCTGCACACAAAGACACTGATTTGGTTTGGAAGCTGTTGGACACAAAAGGGAAAAACCAGCATGCAACAGCAATTCCTGTGCTTCAGTCTGAATGCTGGAGACAGAGGCAGATGTGTGCTGAGCAGAGCATCTGGCAAAAGCAAACCATGTGAGAATCATGGAATCAACCAGGCTGGAAAAGACCTTTAAGCTCATCCAGTCCAACCACTCTCCAGCACTGCCAAGGGCACCACTAACCCATGGCACTGAGGGCCTTGTCTACAAAAGGAACAACCACCTTACAGCTCTCCACCTTTCAGATGGAAGGGAGCACCTTAGAAACACACATTTTAGGTCACTGTGGCACAGAGGGGAGGCTGATGCAGCTGCAGGGGTGCATTCCTCCACCATGAGCTCTGCAACCTGGAGCAGAGTAAGGATTTACCAGCATTGCCCAGGCCTGTTTCTTACAGCTCTCCTTGTGATATTTAGGTTTAGGCCTGCAGAGAGCTTAGGTAATGATTTCTTCAGCAAAACTCCACATAAGGCTCTTCCTTTTACCAGCAAACAATGCAGTTAATCAAGATTCCTGCATCAAAATGAAGCAGCAAAGAGGTCATGGCAGAACACAAAGCTCTATCAGACACGCTTAAAGGCATTTTAGCATCTAGTTGTTCATGCTACAATGCACCTGGCTTGTGCATGGTGCCACGGATGCCTATTTCCATCAGCTGCAACCATCCAAAAGCAGCCACAGATTTGTGAAGTCACCTGGCCAAACACTGGTTTTGCTTAACACTATTCCTGTGAGAGGCATTGGAACACATTATTTTCCAAACACCACATCCTAGCCACAGCAGATCAAAGCTTTAGGACATCTGGAAAAGCCTGGAAGAGCCTGTCTGGCTAGAGACAGCCAAGCAAAAAGGTCAGAGGTAAGAGGAATACTTCTTGGCTTCATGTTATCTGTTTCGTGCTTCTTCCAGAACAATCCTAAGTCAGGCTGAAGTGGAAAAAAGCTTGCAATCTGATATAAAGTGAAGGAGAATTTCATTCCACAGCCTGGCAGCTTTGTAACAGCCACTTCCTGTGTGGATCAGCCTATGGAAAATAGCACTATATATATTTAAGGGTTGTCCTTCACAACAGAAAGGATCTAGGACCACCCTGGGCAGGGGCAAAGGCATTACAAATCCCATCAGCAGAGTCAACATCGCCTCATCTCCACCCCCGGTTTTAGCTTTGCTTTGCACAGCAGCTCCTTGGGAGCCAAGGAAGGGCCAGGCCTAGGAAGAGGTTTGGTTTTGTTACAGGAAGACGCTGTGCAAGTTTCCTGTAAGCACTGAAAAGGGGCAAATCCCCAAGGAACACCACTCACCTCGGCAGAAGTCCATCAGGATGAGCACTTCCCACACGTCCCCGCTGCTCACGGAGTTTATACTGGAGTCAATGTATCCCACAATGTTCTTGTGGCCAGACAGATCCCGCTGTAAGACAGATAAATTCAAAGCCCAAGCCAGCCATGTAGAGTGAGCAACCTTTCTACCTGGCTCCTCTACACTGCCCAGCTTTCCCAGCTCTTCAGGACAGGCACAACTCTAGATTAACCACCATATGCAACTTAAACCTGAGGTCTGTCACTACCTATTCTCCTTCCAGAATGATCTGAGGCAAACAGCAGAGAGCCACTCTGCTGAATTAACTCATCCAAGGATCACTCCGGATCTTCGCATGCTCCCTTAGATGGCTCAGGCCAAGCCATGTGGAGCTGCTCCTCTTTCCCACTCCAGGAGAACAAGGAAGGTGTTTGTGGTGGGGATGTGGACATGTTGGGCTTGCTGTTCTCACTGCCTTCCATTCCTCTGCTGGTGAACAGTATCTTAGATCTTCAAATACTCCAAAACCCCATTAGGTTAATAAACCTTAACTTTGGTTTTAGAAGAACCTTCAGTAATTCAATGGATCAAAGCACAAGTTCTCAGACCAATGACTTATCCATGACACATGCAGGGAAAAGTCATTTCTTTGGGATATCTCCTTCACACACATTCAGGTTCACCAGTGAAAGATTCTGCTGGCCATGTTCTGCTCTAGCACTGTAGAGTTAAAGTTAAGGTAATTCTTTATTGCACAGAAGCTAGGAAAGAAGGAAATATTCCCTTTGAGTTATATACTGGTTTCTTCAAGACAAAGGTAAGTGCTTCTGATGGAATTCAGCATGGAAGCAAGCGGACCTGCCAAGTGAGAAGGATACTCCTCACCCTCGCCTTCCAGGTTAGCCACACATTCCCCATCTCACATGAAGGAGACAGCAGCAAGCAAAACCTAAGTAAAGAAGCTTTGTGAGCACAGCTCAAGGCTTTGATGTAAGATCTAATCTCAACTTTTCCCACACAGCATCAGCCACAGTGACAACAAACCATGCCCACAAGCTCCACTGCGCTATCGCCCAACTTCAGAAGTTAACTTTAAAGGTATTAACCTGATTTAAAGCTACTTCAAAACACAACCCCAGAACTGCTACAGGTAAGAGCTTCTGCTCTGAAGATCCTCTACCCCAAATCTACACCTTGTGTTGTAAATGAGCAGAACCAGGATCTTCGATTCAATTCCCTACCTCACAGCTGCTCTAAGTGCTCATCAGGATCTTTGAATACAGCTTCAAAGGGGGCACTTTCCATGTTTACCAGGCTCCAAACAAGGCTAAGCAAATCTATGGGGATCATCTCAATTTCTTCTTTATTTAGAGATGCTAAGTTTAAAACAACTATTAAAAATAGCTATAACTCCTTGTATCCAATAATCTAGAGACACATCTCAGTGCTTATTATAAATACCTCCCTGTTTCACGAGGCCAGGCAGTAGCCACCCCACGAACACTGTTTTAATCTATCAACCTCATCAATACAGAGATAACCATCCCAACCCCAAAGACAGGAGCTATCATGACACAAACTGATCTCAGGATGGAGGTCTCTCATTCATGCACTGATTGGAGTTCAGAGATGGTACACCAGCATCATCAGCCTTTTCTGATGAAGTCTAAGAGGGTGAAGACTTTAGCCCTGACCTGAGGATTGTTAGACTGAAGTTTAACATCCCTTCTCAGCTCACCTCTTCAGCTCTTCCTTTTCCCAGTAAGTCATGGGGTTGACACAGGAGGTTTTTCCTCCCATCGTTGTCCTGAAATTCCCTCTCCTTTTTCACCTTCCATGTTTTTATTGTCCACTGAAACCACATCCATTTTAAACAGGTCAATAAGAGCTTCCCACATAGCTGCTAACTCCAGGAGTTAGGTCTTTCCAAAAGCAAGCCAATTCTGCTATGAAAACACACTGTTTGGGACAAGCTGCTACACAGACCACGGGCAGAATGTGACCAGGCTCTGACAGCACCCCACACCCAGTTTGGGTGATGACTTACCATGATCTGGATCTCCCTTTTGCAGACCTGCAGGTCGTACTCGTTGTTGACGTACATCCTCTTGAGGGCACATTTCATCCCATTGTTGGTCCTCACCAGAAACACTATTGCAAATCCACCTGGGGAAGACATAAACCCTCCTGTTTGTTAGCAAAGAAACCTCCTGGTCCTTGCCTCCAACCCTGCCCCTGCCTCCGGAAGAGGGAGGACGCTCAGCAGCCACCAACCAAGCACCTTCCCATGTCCTTAGCTCCCACTCTTCCTAAATGATTATTTCTGGGAACTGAGAGGAATCCAAGGGGGAAAACCTTGAACTACTGGAAGCAAAGCTCACATTTAACATCACCCTAAACCCAAGCAATTACACTGGTTACTTGTCCTGCCAGACACTGCTCCATTAATTCCCATTATGAAGAAGAAAGCTGAAGTATAAACAGCAGTGTTGCCTTGGACAGAAACCAGAGGCACAGATCCCCCACTGAATCACCAAAGGCCCGTACTTAAAAGGCTCCCCAACTTTGGGAGCAAAGTCACAGTACAAAGCTGGTTTGAGCAAGAAGCATTAGAAACAATCTCGCACCCATGGTTTGATGGCAGGGCTTTTAAGAAAGGCCAGAAGAACAAATCTCAAACCCTAGCCAACCACAATTCATTCTGTGGGCATTGCTGGTAGCAATGTCAGGACTCCCAGGATGCTGGACTTGTTCAGGATGAAAGCTTTTCGTATGATAGCAACGCATCAAAATCTCAGGGTTTTAGGCCTGGATAGACAGAGGAAAAGCTGATGGAGGCACCTGGCTCCAGAGACCCAAATACATCCAAAGAGCCTCATGTACCCAGGAAGTGCTGCACAACAACACTGTCGATGCCGCAACCTAAAAGCACTTCATTTGTTCTCCGTTACCTTATATTACAGCACATATTTCTTTGATGCTTAAGGACTTCTAAAGTCCCACTTCACCAAAAGCTGCAGTTACAGACTGTAAAGAGCCAGTCACACCCCAAAGAATTCCCACTTTAAAAGTCTGAGCCCTTTGGAGAATCCCATTCTGCTGCCAGAAACCATCAGGTAACAACACATACAGGGTTATATATTGGACATGGTTGTACATAATTATTAGGAAGGGTTATTTAGCACTTAAATCATGTCAAATGGAACAAGCGAGAAAGCTGCGTTTGGGTAAAATTGAGTGTTTAAATAGGTTTAATTTGACAACTCCAGTCTTGCAGCAACAGGCGCTTATAGCTGATCACAAATCAACCACCAGAGCCTAAAGGCCCATTGAAGCTTTTACTAAAACTGGGATTTCTTTTTACCAAGAAAAGATTGGAAAAGAGCAAACAACCAGACAACACTGCTGTGCTCAAAGGACAGCCCTCCCCATCCCTTAGCACACAGCTCTACAGCATTCCATTAGAGCCAAAACGATCACAGGAGCTCCAGATGCAGATCCCATGCCTGTCAGTACCAGAGCTCTAAACTAAAGAATCTCTTAGCATACAAACCCCTTAGTTTTACACATCATAGTTGGCCATAGGAAGCAGAGCATGTTTGCCAAGGAAGCCCCACCGGCTTTAAGGAACAGAATTAACTCATAGCAGCCCCAGAGAAGTTGCAAAAGGATGCAACAGAGAGAGTAAGAAGAAAGAAAAACAGGAGGGGGTTTCTTGCAGTCTCAGTTATCATCAAAACTGGGCAAGCACAACACTCTTTTCACTCTTTCTTTCATTGGAAGGGGTGCAGTTCCCTTCTCAGGGCTCCTCCTGCCAGGCCTGGAAGCCAGCAGGACACTGTACCTCTGTTTACACCACTCAGCAGAAGGAAACAGGAGCTAAGCAGCACAAAGAGCAATTCAACTTCCTTGAAACAGCAGATCCACTAGATTTAAGGCTCTCCTTCTTCAGCTGAAGTGGGACCAGTACCCAAGACCAACTGCTCATGTCTCATTAGCAAAGTGTTGAGCAAGGCGCTTCTCCTCTAGTCCGGATGCTGGGCTGATGAACAAAGTCACTACTGGCAGTGCTCAAGGCCAGGCTGGACAGGGCTCGGAGCAAGCTGCTCCAGTGGAAGGGGTCCCTGCCCATGGCAGGGGCTGGAACTGGATGAGCTTTAAGGTCCCTTCCAACCCAAACCAGTCTGGGATTCCACGGTCTCCAAAACAGAAGCAGGAGTCAAATCCTTCAGGTGGAAGAGGATGCCTACAACATTTGTAGAGTTGTCACAATAGGAAAGTCATGGGAAAATTACATAGAATCATAGAATAGTTAGGGTTGGAAAGGACCTTAAGATCATGCAGTTCCAACCCCCTGCCATGGGCAGGGACATCTCACACTAAGCCATCTCACCCAAGGCTCTGTCCAACCTGGCCTTCCTTGTGTCCTTCTCTCCCTTACCTTTAACTCCTGCAGACTTCACCTGATGACACCACACACGGAAGCGCTGCAAAATCATTCAACTTCTTTTGTCTGCAAATACACCTACCCATTTGATTACTTCATTATTGAACTCCCACTGGCTGCAGATTAAAACATGACAACTTTGCTGCTCGTAAAAGCAGCACTGCAGAGAAAACAAGCATTGATTTCATCAGGGTGCACACAGCAGTTGTCACACAGCGACCTACAGTAAGCGCCTGCCTTTGGAGAAGCAAAAATTGATGATCCACGTCCACTCAAAAGAGGGTGCAAAGTCCTACTATCCTGTCAAACTGCCCATGGCACGGGGGTTGGAACTGGATGATCTTAAGGTCCTTTCCAACCTTAACTATTCTATGATTCTATGTGTCACCCGGTCTGATTGTCTCAGTTAAACAGAGCACAATATTCCTTGCAAACTCCATTTACTGAGCCCGGTAACCTGTACCCAGAAAGGCACAGCACAATCCCAGACTGGTTTGTGTTGGAAGGGAGCTTAAAGCTCACCCAGCTCCAACCCCTGCCATGGGCAGGGACCCCTTCCACTGGAGCAGCTTGCTCCAAGCCCCTGTGTCCAACCTGGCCTTGAGCACTGCCAGGGATGGGGCAGCCACAGCTTCTCTGGGCACCCTCACAGGGAACAGCTTTTGCCTCATCTCCAACCTGAACTCCCCCTGTTTCAGTTTGAACCCATCACCCCTTGTCCTATCCCTACAGTCCCTGATGAAGAGCCCCTCTCCAGCATCCTTATGGCCCCCTTCAGACACTGGAAGCTGCTCTGAGGTCTCCACACAGCTTCCCTTCTCAAGAGTGCCTCACTCCCCTCGGGTCACATCATTCCACATTTCAATCAGAGGAAGTGTGAAAAATACCACCTTCATTTGAATTTCTCTGCATTTATTACACTTCCACTGCTAATTGGCTTCAGTTTTGCTGCAGAGAACAGGACTGCAGACAGTAAAACAGCAGGAGGATGAGGGAAAGTGATAGAGAAAGAGCTCGAAGAACAGCAGCTTCTTGCCACACTCCTCATACACAAATGGCTCTAGAAAGCTCTGGTGGCTTTTCATAGCACCAAGCTGAAACTAAAACACTTACTTTAGCTTTTAACTCTCTTGTGAGAGCTGCTCCCCACTGGTTAACCCTTCCTCCTTGCACACCACCTAACGACAACATCACCACCTCCTCAGCCCCAAGGGCTGCTTTCAGCTTCCAGAGCCTCAGACCACAACCAATTTCTCCCTCATTATTCCAGTCCAACCCTCAACTTTCCAAATCCGGGCAAAGTTGAAAGGAACCAGATCAAAAGCAAATAGACAACAATTACACTGAAACGCTGCCAGATGCACATTACAAGACCATTTACTTCTATTCTCAGTGAGCAGCAAGCAAGGCAACCCTTCCAAGAGGCACAGGCTGCCAGCTCTAATGCTCTATGCCAGCTCCAGTACAATAGACACGCCAGGATTTGGGTAACTCCAATCCAACCAAGGTCAAGAGTTGCCTCAAGTGAAGTCAGATATAATTGTGCTACATGCAGCCAAGGAGGGTGGGTCACACAAGGCAGAGCTTGGAAGCATGAACTGGGAACATCCTCTTTGCTGGTCGAGCCTTCTTCCCAGTACATGTATGGAAAGCAGAAGTCAAGAGATGAGTCCAGGCTTTAGATGCAATGGAGCAAATAAATCCACAGTGGCAGGGGGTTTGGAAGTGGATTATTTAAGGTCCTTTCCAACCCAAACCATTCTGTGAGTCTATGATTACAATCAGCTCAGAGCCAGCAACAGCCATGGGTCTCCTGGGAAAGAGCACTGCCTTTAGCTCTCAGGAATGCATCTACCTCTACAACAGCATAACAACACTTACCCTACCACACACTTCTGCACTGGCTGTTGGTCTTGCTGAGCAGCTTCAGGATAAGCTGAGAATAAAAGGAGGTTCCAGTGATGGCCAGCAAATGCCAGAGCCATTTTCCATGCAGGCTCCTGGCAGCGGGCTGGCCAGCTTCCAGTGCTGGGAGTTGTATCCTCAGCCCTTCTGTAATTTCAGCAGGATGCAGAACTCTCCACAGCCGGGTGAGCACTTCTAAAGGAGGTAAAAGCAGCTGCACATGATCCCCTCTCCTACCTCTGAGCAATGGAAGAAGATAGCATCCTGCTGCACTCAAGTGCCTGGAGTCCTCCTGCAGCCAGCACCACCCACCTGCAGGCAGGCACAAGATGCTGCTTCCAAACAAGTTGCATTGATGCTGCGGTGAGGAAGTTCACAGAGAAATGGGTTGCTCCTTCTATCACCCTTTTGTGAGGGCCTCTTCCAGAGCTGCCTTTCACTGCAGAACATATGTTAGCTAAGGTCAGTGGGTGCTGCAGCAGCAGATGAGCTGCCCACCTTCATCCTTGGATGAACACAGCTGCCCTCCCACACATCCCGGGTCTTCCAGAGCAACAAATCCACCTTGTCCTGGGATGGCACCATTAGTGGTGGTGGTAAGGAACCATCAGAAATAGCTTGTCCTGAGAACCCCCTTCCTGCCCACACTGTTACTGTATCTTCACCATCACTTACTCTTGCTCTTTGAGCTGCATTTAAGTCCTGCTCCAGAGCTTCAAGCACATCCTATCGGGTAAGTATTTAATCACAGAGAAGGAAACAAGGTATTCCTGAAGGCAGGATTAGTGCCTGCAGACAACAGGCCCCCATAAGA